CCTCAGCCAGGTGGTCGCAAAAAGCACGGAACAACGTTGGTATTACTTAATCCTATGACCAGTGTTCGTAACAGCTACCGTACGCATACTAGTGCTGTCAAAATTGTTCAAATGGCGTTTGTATATTCCCTCTAAAAAACATACTTGAGCATATCGTCGTGCATTTGGTCAATGACGCGCATTACGTCAATAACAGGACAAATTAATACAAAGAGACATAACTAATAGTATTAAGTAGCTTATTTGAGTTTAAACATATTTGACAACGTATTACTACAAAAAAAAACGAGTAAATCAACTAATGGCCAAGACCGCAGAGCTCACTCTGGCTCGCCCGGACTCGCAGGCGCACTCTCTCTCTCTCTCTCTCTCTCGCACTCACCCTCACGCTCTCCGCGCATACCGGTTTAAATGAACAACAACAAACAAATGTTGAGTGCTGATCAAGAGTTTTGTGCAAGCAATTTAAGGTATATAGCAGGCTTCATTCAGTGATTGAAACAAATACATTAATTGAAGTTTCACAGAACATAGAACCGACACTGAGCGCTCCGAGCGAGCTGTGCTGTGGTAACGTTAGTCTGCTACCGCGGGCGTGTTTTTCCACATTCGAATATTAATTTTCACCTTCAAAATTCAGTTTTTTTTAAACTATTCGAATATATATTCGTATTTAGAATATTCATTGACAGCCCTAATGCATACTGAACGGATAGCCTACAGCTATTTGCAGCTCCCTAAATACAATGGCAAGCAAGCAGTTTTATAGACGAGTCATTCGCGTTTTCCATTTGGACCCACAAACTTGCTTAGCTATATAGTTGCAACCACATAACAGTTATAAAGCAACGTGTTTCCATTTTCAAAGTGTTTGACAATATTTCAGCAGTCAAACAGTTAAAAGATGCTTTGAAAGTTTAAAAGTTACCGTTATCTTGAAGCGCAGGTTGCACTCTGCTAGTGGGGGAGGGACAGTGCAGGGTCTGCACGTGAACTGCAGCGTCTCCAGCAGCACAGAGCTGCCTGTGGACGCCTGTCTATAAATAATGCCGGGAAAAAACTAACGGCGAACGCAGCAGCCGCATATCGGCCGATTCCGATACACGTAAAAAACGCAAATATCGGCCCGATATATCGGCCGGCCGATATATCGGTCGATCACTACAGATAACAGTTTTTTTTTTTAGGTAGTTTTTTCTTGCATTAGTGAGTATTTCCATTTTATGCAACTTTACACATTTACTACTATTATTAGTTACCAACTCCACTAGGCCTGAAATATATTTTGTACGTTTTAATCCCCTGGATCATGCTACAAACATGATCTTATAGAATATGATGCTGCTGCATTGCTGTGTCCGTTATCCTAACTTTAATGGCCACTTTGGACAGTGGCTGTGTTTTTTTGTTTACATAGTCTTGCTTTAACAGTCATTAATATAAGATAGTACAGCAAAAAAAAAAAAAAAAATTACTGTAAAGCTATTCTATTGCTGTTATATCTTTATTATCCAACATTTACATTTTAGTACAATTAATTTGCTGAATTCATTTATTTCATTGATAACTTATTTTTGTATGTAACATGTGTACCTCCTGGGAAACGGTCTAACGTTATTATAACTTTATGAACTGAGATCACTTTATTCTTACCTGTCACACTTAATATGGAGAGTAATATAACGTTAATTAAATCCTTGAACTTCCCTGTCTCAAGTTATGTGGGGGGAAAAGCCTGGTTAAGTAGCAAACTTCTTTTTAACTGCTATAACGTTAACTGTTGTGAGTTAAAATAATCACCTAATTTATTTCAACCTAAAAATGACCTCTGCACTGGACTAAATATAATGTATAATATATGACTGCCGAGTCGCTTTCACCCCAAAATGGCGGACGCGTAGGGCTGCTGCTGGGCGCTGGTGTGGCAATGGAACGTTTCACTTCTTGTCAATATACGTTCTTTGACCAGACTGAGCCAACAAGAGGCTTGTTTGAGATGCGCCTTGCCTCGCCTGAAATGTAGTCGAGAGTAGGCGGCTGCAGTGAGAGGAGGAGTGAAAAAAGCGCAGGCAAGCCGGACAGATCGCTCTTCTCGCAGTGGATCTGACACCTGTGAGATCAAAGGCGGATATCGCGGGATTCACGGGATTCACACTCGTGCACGGTGTTGCTAATAAATGGATGTATTTTAAGTTTTGTTGCTTGAATATGAAAATAAATATAATGAACAAGACACCCAAAGTACTTATTTAATTCCATTTTAAATAGGCCTATATGTTTATGAATCATTTTTTTCTTTAATACAGATAGGCCTATGTGTTTTTTTTTGTGTGTTTTTTGTGTGTTAAATTACATCACATAGATCGCACTGTCAGAGAGTTTGGGGATATCCACACATAATCTATACACATAAAACATGATATCAGAGTTTTAAAATCAAACATTTTAAAAGAGAACAATACATCACGGTTGTTTAAACCAATGAGCATTAAGCTGTGTCGTCAGCAAGTCGTTTCCCATCATGCTTTTGATCAGCGCAGTCGGTGGAGAGCAACTGCGCGCGACTGCAGAATCCGACACGTGCGCCTTGCGGTCGCGAGACTTTTTTGACTCACGTCAGCATGACATCAGAGCAAGGCGGACCGCACTCGGACACATTTCTAACCGGCATGCATCTCGCGCTGATCACCGGTGATCGGTTCTGCGCAGATTTTGCTCATCTCAAACAAGCCTAAGGACTCGTTAATCTGGGGTTCGAGCCTTATGACACCCAAAGCGAAACGCGCACTTGATTGGACAGAATGTGAGGCTTCGTTTGTCATCGATCACGTGACTCTGGGAAACCAATACAAACCAACCAAACATAGATACACACCCCGATACGGGGCTTCAGAAATTGCGTCGCATTTGCTATACCCACATCGGAGCTTCAGTGTCATACGTAACATCACTAGTATTTGTAAAACAAATTATTTTGTCTAAATTAGGGGCCAAGCACCGAAGGTGCAGAGGCACCTATTGTATCTGTTGGTTTTCTTATTATTATTCTTCTTCTTCTTCTTCCGCAAATGGAAGTCTATGGCAGCCCTATGAACCGTACATAGGAAAATGATGAAATTTGGCACACTTGTAGTGATGCTAATGAATAGTAATTGGACCAATTTTTGACCCTCTAGGACCAACTCTATAGCGCCACCACCAGTTCAAAAATTCAACATTGAAATGGTTATAACTTTTGAACCCTTTGATCTAGAGACATGAAACTTAGTACACCTGATTCCACTCATCATGCTGATCACAACCAATACCTTACATTAAGACCCCGCCCATTACAGTAGTGGCCATTTTGAAATGTACAGTATTCAGTTATTTCGCTACTCCTCCTTCAAATTTTGTCCAATTTTCTCCAAACATGCACTCAAATGATCTTCAGACTGAGCCGCATAAAAGTACTGTTCCCGATTTTTTTGTTATACTGGAAAAAAAAAGTTATAATGTCGCAAACTTAACAAGGTCCACCCAAAATTGGCTAAGAGGCTGTATCTCGGCCAAAGTTTGATCAATCGAAACGAAAATTGGTACACTTCATCGGAAGCATGTTCTGAGGTCCCATGCCAAAGTTGGGAATAGCGCCACCTACGGGTCATGAGATATGACAAATTGCTATTTTGGCCAATTACTTTTGAACAGTTTGTCAGAAATTCATAATTGTGGTATCTATGGATTCCTTGCATCATGCCGAATCCGTGGATATCAATTTTGCCATGATGGGATGTACCCCGTGTCCGCCATTTTGAATTTTGTCATAATTTGCAATATCTTTTAAACTATTTGAAATTTCCTCACCACATTTGGTATGGATCATCATTAGCATGGCCCGAAGGTACATGAGAAGTTTGATCACAGCGCCACCTAGTGTTCCAGAGATATCATTGTTTTTTGAAAAAACGCTTATAACTTTTGCTATCATTGCTTGAAATTTGATTTATTTATGTCAATATATTCCTTGGCTTATGCCGATTTCAACGATATCTCATATGCTATTTTCCAACAATGTGACTGGCCGCCATATTGGAGCGAATGTAAAACAGTTTTTTCGCTACTCCTCCTTCAAAATTTGTCCAAAATTGTCCAAAATTTGCTCAAATGATCTTCGGACCGAGCCGCACAGAAGTACTGTTCCCGATTTTTTTGCTATACTGGAAAAAAAAAAGTTATGATGTCGCAAATGTAACAAGTTCGACCCAACATTGGTTCAGAGGCTGTAACTTGTGAACAGTTTGTCACAAAATCATAAAATTGGTGTCTATCGATTCCTTGCATGATGTCGAATCCGATGATATCTATTTTGCCAGGATTGGATGTACCACGTCATAAGCTAAATTAGCATTAAGCTAGCTTAGCATGCTAATCTGGTTAACATGTCATGGAACTTTTTTGTGAACTCATTCTCACACTGAACCCTCTCCTCTGCTGTCTTGAAATTCACGTCCTCTGAGTGGCGCAATCAGCTAAACCATGCATCTCGAATCCCGAACCATTCTGGTCGTGGGTTCGAGTCCCATATGGGATGACTATAAAGTTGTCATTTCAATTCCTTCCAGCTCTGCTCTGCTGTTGGTGCTTAAATGCTCGCTGTGCTTCATTTACATGTATATTCAATTTGTGCTGTTTTTGTTCTTGCGGCTCTGCACTGCTATTGGTGCTTAAATGCTTGATGCGCTGCTGTACTTGCAGTACTTGCTGTACTTGCTGTGCTTGCTGTACTTGCTGTACTTGTACTTGCTGTACTTGCTGTGCTTGCTGTACTTGCTGTACTTGCAGCTTGCTGTACTTGCAGTTTGCAGTACTTGTTCTGCTTGCGGTGCCAAGCCTTTGAACTTTGCTGTACTTGTTCTAATTGTGGTGCCAAGCCTTTGAACTTTGCTGTAATTGTTCTAATTGCGGTGCCTTGCAGGGCTTGGCCCCGTGTTGCTGCTTGCAGCTATATTTAAGTCTTATTCTTGTTTTCCCTCGTAAATGCTCCAGTTTAAGAGTCAAACTATGATGCCATTTTGTCATGCACCAGCCAGGAACCCATCAGGGATCCACAGTTATTGTCTTCTATTACTCTTTGGTACGATGCTAATTTCTATTCGTTTAGTGAAATAATATATTGTGATTTCTCTTGTTGGTAAGTTTTTAAATAAACAATGTGGTCTGTCCACACATTTAGCTGCATATTGAGCTCTGTTCAACTTTGTTGCATTGCATCATCAATGGTTACTATCGTCTATCGCTCATCACTTTGTCATTGCAAAAGCCTGTCACTTCCCTACACATTATAGTGTTTTAATTAGTTGCCATTTAAACTAGCTTTTTTGTTTGTTTGTTTGTTTTTTATAATGAAATTGTCAATCTAAAATAGAATTTTTTATTCTGTTTTCCCCAGCTATAGCTCCCATTCTGGGTGGAGAAGTCCCTGATGCGGTGAAAGTTGGGGATACTGCGATTATCCCTTGTAACGAGACATGTAATGGCAATCTTTTATGGGAATTTAAAACAAAAAATGAAAAGTTGGATGTCTTGCAATGTGTGCGAGGGACTTGCACAGAAGGAGATCGCTTTATGAACAGAGTAAGCATCTCTGAAAAGTTCAAGGCTGGAAACCCGTCTCTAAAACTGTATCATGTTCTGTTCAATGATGAAGGCTGGTACATGGTCTTGTGTGATTCAAAGTTTCTTTGTAGATTTCACTTGGAAGTGTTTGGTAAGTTTATTAGTTAAGCATGGTATAAGATCATTTATATAATTGGAAATTTACCATCCTAGTTTGCTTGCCACTGCTCAATGTGATATTATGCTTTGTTTTGTGTCTTTTTATTGTTTAGTCCCCACTACTGTGAATGCCACATTTGGAAGCAACATCACACTACCCTGCTACGCACGTACAGAGAAACGGATCACTGATGATGCTGTGAACGTCTTTTGGAAAAAAGATGACCAAACTGTGTTACAAGTTCAAAAAGGAATTACAAATCATGGTTTAAGTTTTTCAGGCAGGGCAACAGTTTCACTAGATCATTATAAGGACGGAGATCTATCGCTTACCATATTCTGGGTCACCACGGCAGATAAGGGATTATATCGGTGTTATCACAATACAGAAGAGGAACATGGGCATCCTGGTGCTGTCACTCTTAATGTTATAGGTTGTTGAATGTTACTTTTTTTTTTTTTTTTAGTGTTTCTTTTTCTACAGAAAAGGGCTTATTTTATTAAAATGTGCAATTTTTTTTCTTCAGCTCATCAAAAGTTCTGTGCAAAGAAGTTTGGCGACAATCTCACCCTTGACCTGTTCGGCTCAGACCCCGTGACGGTAACTTTCACTAGTTCAACTGAGACCCGGGTTTGCAGTGTGAGCGGAAACGATGCTGCGTGTTCACCTGAATACACTAACAGAGTATCTGTCGTGAATTACTCCCTTGTGGTGGGCATGTTGACATCTTCTGATACAGGGACGTTTACTGTGAAAGACAAAATGGGTGAAGTCATTAGTATCAACACCGTCACTGTGGAGGGTAAGTTTAAAATGTTTAAAAAGTTTTTTAAAAGTTTTATCATAAAAAAAAAAGAGATTTTTGCTAAGCTTTTTGCATTCTCTTTTCTGTCGTCCACAGGTGTGACCCAGAGATATTACTACGTAGCTCCGTCTGTACTGGCTTTTTTTCTCAGTTGTTGTCTGTTCTATTGGTGTCATAGAAAGTCACAAGCAAATGCAAATGAGTATACTGGGGTTACAGAGCCACTCAGAGAGCCTGCATGCATCGGATTGTCACAAGAAGAAACTAGCCCAAATATTCCAGAGGAGTCTGACGTTTCTGCACACACACCTGTAGAGGAGACCATGCCTATGAGGGTGACCCCTGAGAAGCAGGACAACACTGAAGAGGAGGAATCTATATTACCTCTGGAATAAGACTAGGAGAAACAGTGTAGGATACTTTAAGGAAAAAGTATAGTTCTTCTGCTATACTGTGTGCTATGAGAAAGATGGCATTATTTTTAGGGTACTCTTGGGGTAATTGCATAACTGTGCCATTGAACAATATGTGAAACACAAAGAGAAATGGTAAGTGGACTGCATTTATATAGCACTTTCACAGACCCAATGGCCACCAAATCGCTTTACATTTGCCTCACATTCACCCATGTCTGCCATACAAGGCGCCATCCAGCTCGTCAGGAGCAGCTGGGGTTAGGTGTCTTGCTCATGGACACCTCGGCACTTGATCAGGTAGAACCGGGGATTGAACCACCAACCTTTCGGTTCGCAGACAACCTACATGAACCACTGAGCCACTGCCGCCCCCAAAGAAAGGAATTTTATTTTTTTTAAGCTCAGGAATGCCTTATTCAGGGAAAATATGAACTGCCTTCAAGACATTTGCTGGACCACTGAAGTGACTGGGATCTCATCTCAGGATACTGACGTGACTGATAAATTCTGTTGTATTTTTTTTTTTTTCAAAAGAACTGTTTTCTACACATTTCTTTGTGTAAATATTTTTTAAAGGTAAATGTTACTAGAAACCACACAAACAGGAAAGGGCACATGTTTTTAGTTTTTTGCAGTAGCTTCCAGTTGGCCACAGAATGTACTTTAGTCTTTTCCTGATAAGCTTATGTGGCTGACAGACATCTGAAGTCATTAGGGTTGAGCCAGACATGCTGGAACTGCTATTTTCCTATTATTTTCTAACGATTATTCTTGCCATAATGGTACCAACTTCCAGATGTGCCCTCACTGCATTACTCTGCATTTTTTCTTGTTGCGCTTTAAAACATTGCACTTTTTCTAATATACTACAGCTTTATTTTATATATATATATATTTATAGTTAAGTTACTATAATAGAGTTAGTTGAATGTTAACCTTTGTGTTCCGAATTCACATTGAATGACTGATCATGAAAAAATAAATTCAAAGTTGTTTACAGAAGATAAACATGTATTAAACTTTTTTTTTTAACAAAATGTTTTATTTATTTTACCAGACTTTCTGTAAATCTTGTCTACTGTGCACAGTGTTAATAATGATATTTGTTTCTCTACAATTTGGGAAGATAAGATGATTGAACAATCTGATATTTTTCAGTTATGATCTCTTGTGACTTAAAGTAACAACAGGTCGTTTTTTGCTCTCGGGCTCCCCCTACAGTTGGGAAACAGTATTGTCCTCTACTACTGTCGTAAACTCTGTCATCCTACATGCACGTGCAATTGTTGACAACCAGGATAGCCCTGAACACTGTAGGAGGAGGTCACATGCAGGTGTTCTGCTTGCGTCGCGTGTGAAATGTCTTCATCCCAGGTACAGTGGCATATATTTCAGCATGTCATATGAATATAATTTCATGGGTTTTATTTTTTTTCTAACGACAAATGATCGCGATGCTCACGTTTACAAGCCAGCGTCATTATAGTAGCCTAGTCTATTGGTTACCGTTTTACTGGATCTATATGATACTTCAATGCAATGTTTGAGTGGTTGATAATAACCATATATCGTCAATATTATAATATCAAGCTACCATAAATGAATCTGCAAATTTTACAAATCGATTTGCATTATAGCTTGAGGCAAGACAAATAAACAAATATCACAGACATGTTAGGTATCCTAAAATATGATTTTATTAATAATCTTCCTCCTTTCTTTGTACATGTTGAGTAGACTACACTTTTTAGGTCAAACATTTGCTATTTGCATTTCATCGATTGCAAAGTTCAAATCAGAACGAGAATACTAGCGATAGCTAACCATCAAAAACTAGAATATCGTTTACTAGCTACCAGATTGATAATTCGCTACTACTCTAGCGAATTAGAGAGGTTAGAGAGAGGCATTCTTTTTTCGATGGGGGGTTTGATGCTCCCTGCACACGCAAGGTCTCTCGCTCGCTTTCTCTCTCTGCCGTCCGCGCGCGTTGGAGCACAGTCTCTGTCTCGCGTGCGCGCTCGCTCTAGATTCCGGGAGATTTGAACTAATTTGCGGTATAACTTGTCGATCACGAGTGGCTCAACAGGTAGATCTATAGATAGACTCATCTTTCAGGGATTTGACCGACCGGGTTGACAATTTAGCGTGAGAAACCGGGGGTGTGGCGTACGTGTGAGCGTGTGAAACCAATCAAATGCGGGTGTCTCACGGCCAATGCGTGAGAGTTGGCAGCTCTGCAATGTTGATCCTCGTTCTGCCTTTAACGCGATCACTTTCTCTTTTTCTCTTTTTGCTTTGCTCCGATAAAACCTTTGCTTTCTTGTTTTTCTGTGCTGCTTCGCCCATGACTATAACATTTGGCTCGCAAGTCCGATTTTAAGGAAGTGGGGGTGGTGGTGGAAGTGACGTATATGCTGTAAAGCAGTCGAATTTTGTAGTTCTCTTTGTTCGCCGGTTACTACCCGAAACCCGAAGTTTAAAAGTACGATTAAAAACGCTACAGACCCCGTCAGGCTATGGCAGACGTGTCATTCAACCTATTGTAAGTCGATGTACCATCACAAGAGACTTGGAAATATATTATGAAGGTTGAAAAGTTACCTGTTGTTACTTTAAGTCCCAACAAACGTACACAAGCTTAAAAATGTGTACTTGTTCATGTAGGATATAAAAAATTCACAATAAAAGTATAGAACTTGCCTGTACTATTTTTTATTATTACTACTACTGTTTCCCACATTTTAATATGATATTAAAGTTATCAAAACTGAAATGAAACCCAGTGTTATGTCATGATAAAATGATTTTAGATGCTTTTAGAAGTAATAAAAAAAATAGATATGATGTCATAAATTATATGTTTGACATGTTTTTGCATCACTAATGTAATTAACATATGGATTACAGCTACTTATGGATTTACAGCACTTATACATAAGCGAAAATCCCCAGCTAAAACCAAGTTTTTTTCTTCCAATATTTATATGCAAGTAGACATTGTTTTAAACCATCAGGTCACATTACAGGTTTTCAGCTTTTGTGGTATCTTGGTCTATAGGGCTGGCATTTGTTGACTACATGACAATGTGAATGATCTAAGACCTAAGACATTCAGACCAGGAGCAATGAGATTATAACACAAACAGTGTTTTCATATAGGCCAAGAGAAAAACTACAGCTGAGACCACATTTTTGTTTTCATCTGTCTGTGCAGGTTACAGTGAATGTGATGTCATGTGACTTATGTACATCTGTGTATACGTTTAGTCACTAAAAACCCAAAATCCTCAACTCAAATGACCACAAATTCTTCCAGAATCCTGGTGGTGAACTTAAAAATATATGAATAACAAAACCACAACTAATGCTTCCCAATACCCTACTGATAAACACAGCTGGATTAGTGTTGAACTCTAATTGGTTGAACTAGACCATCCAGCTCAATAAAAGACTGGAGATCGACTGTACTGTACATGACAGAGCAAATCACTGCTGGAGTGACAAACAGGTGGGTGCCAGCAAGGTTTCTGCTATTAAAAGATGATTTGAATATCAAATTCAGACTGTGTCATTTTAAAATGTGCTGTTTGATGATATTTTTCAGATTGTAAGATGAAGAACTTTGCTGTCATCTTTATGGTACTGGCCATAATGGCTGATGTGAGTACATTGATTCATTCATGACTGATCAATTCATCCATACATGCTTTAATCACTCTGATACTTTCTTCTCTTTTAGATCACCACAGCCAAGGTAAGAGCATTCATATCATCAGGATTATCTTGTGTTAAGTTGGTTAATATTGATGCTTTAAGCTGCGCTTATTTTTAGAAGCTGCGTCTGGTCAATGGTCTGAATGGTGGTCTGGTTACTGGTGTAAATGGAGTTAACCCTCAACTGGTGGGTGGTCTGAATCCACCCATGTTTTCTGGTGGTGCTGCTGTTATAGGACAGCCTCCGTTTACACAAGTAGGAACTGATGATTTACCACTTAAGTGCGTTGTATATCCCACTGCGATAATGTCCTACGCAGGTGATTAAACTCTTTCGTGTCTGACAGTTTATTCCTGGAGCCGCTCTTTCTCCATATGTGCTTCAGCAGCCACCCGTGGCCGCAGTTCCCTACGCCCCACCCAACACGGGACCTCAGTTGGCTTATCCTTTCGCTCCCTCTAACGGGGTATTCATTCATGTTCATTCACAATGTTTATGTGTTACAATATACATTTATTTCCAATCTAATCTGAGATGTTGTGTTTCGACCATGTTCTGATTAACAGGGGCTGCCGTATTACATTAGTGGTCCCCAGAATCAACCAGTGTTATTCCCTCCTCAGCAGCAAGTTGCGGTAAACAAATCTTCTAGTTGCTAGTATGCTAATGCTAAAAATTCAAAGCATGGACTACAAATTATGTTTCTGGAACTGTAGGCTGGACAAGGCCCTATTGGAGCTGCAGGCCTAATACCACCAGGTTCACTGACTAGATTTAAAGTAAGTTTTATCATGCAATTTCTCCGTCATAGCATCAACACTCCGTCCATCATCAAGTATTTCCACAGATTTCAATCCTGAGAAGGAATGATTGCATTTTTTTTCTTCTTAATAAAACATACAGGAGAAAAAAAAAAACTTGTTTTTTTAGGCACTGGTGGTCAATTTTGAATGATTTCTCTCAGACTTGTGCAAAGAAAACACCCAAAATGCATATTTAATTGTTTGTTTTATTACACTTTATCTGTTTGTATCTGCTGATTTCAATTACATAATATATTCTGAAGGTATTTATAGTTTATATGTAATTTACCTGATATATATCCATCATTTTTTACTCCTAAAAACATGGTGATTTTTTTTTTTTTTTTATTAATTATTTTTATTTGTTGACAGTATTTTCTGATTTGTGATAAAAAGCGATATCCAAAATATCCAAATCTTTAACTTAAATATAGAAAAATGAAACATGAATTTTGAACCTGGCTTTTTCCAATATTCAGATTTCCGTGCTGTTATGCAAATGAGCCATTATCTACATAAATATGCAGTAATTTGCATATTTGAGCAACATTTCTGAAAACTTTTTGTCTTAAAACAATTGTCTTAATGTACTGTGATTAATCAACTGGAGAAGTCAAATAATTTCTGTTCTAAAAGTTCTTGGTACAAAGTGTACCTGTAACTGGATTGTTTAGCAGTGTTTATGCAGCATTCAAAAGGCAGAATTCCTGTCGTCCACCTTTCTAACTGTTAAATCCTTCATTTTTCTCAGCGCTCCTTCCTCAGAAGGACCACAAGACCCCCTGTCTCAATCACCCAGGTATGTAGAGAAAAATATTTTCCATCCATCTGAAATCTAATGGGTGGTACATTCTATTATAATTCTGACTTTATCGTCTGCATACAGATCCCAGCTCAGGTCAGCCCAACTGTGTCTGGAAACTTAGGTGAAAGACGTGTTTGAATCGCTGAGGTGTGTTTTACGTGCTTTGTCAGACATATATTTTAATGCACATTAATCATTACCTTTGCTGAGAAGCTGTTTGTTTCTTTTCACAGATACTTTCAAGATATCTCCTCTTCTTTTCTACATTAAGTGTCATTTTCTATTTTCAATATTACATAATCATTGCTGATAAGTAAAATGTATTCCTTATTAAGCCATTCTATTTGTCTAACCCTTTGCTTTTTACTGACAAATTATCAGCATGTGTAATGTTTATACCGAATACTTAATAAAAGTCATAGTTTGTAGCAACTGTGAATATTTTCTCTTTTGATTTTTTACTCTCTTAAAAATATGATTATACAGTTACCACGCTGAGTTTGTTTGTGTTATATTGCCATCTACTGTTTTCCTGAAGTTATTGTGAACATTTTAAAGGGGAAAAAATAACATCATACAGTTAATACTATCATGATGATTATGATCACCATCATCACTGTTAAAAAAATAAATTTAAAAAAATCCAATTGTCTTTGTTTTCGCATTCTCAGTCTCTAAATTGTCTCAGTTCCTCACAAAGCAAACAACTCTCCATAGGTGTATTCTTTTGTCAGTGTCTGACAAAACTCATTTCTAATGTGGGCACTGACTAGACTAAAGAAAACCATAACAATTATTATGGTTCAGGCTAAAAGCATGCTGAAATGTGGTTGTTTCAGAAAAGATTGTATTACCACAAAATAGCATCAGGACTAATAAAAATACGCTAAACGCAACTCAAATGTTATACCGACATAATAAAGACAGTAAACTGCTTGGTATTTGATCATACATTTTGGGGTCAGTAAGATTTTTTTTTGCATTTTTATTTATGCAAAAATCAACAACTTACAGTACACAATCACATTTATATTCCACACAACTGATAACACTACACATGTACAAGCAGAGAGATAAAAAAAAAACAAAAAAAACAAAAAAAACCCCATGAATTGCCGTAAACAATACACAAAGGGTTCAGTAAGATTTTGTTTTGAATGGTTATTCTTTGATTTGGCATGGATGCATGAAATGGATCAAAAAAGACAGTGAAGACTTTTAAAATAAATTCTGTTCTTTTGAACTTTCTATTCATCAAAAAAGAAAAGAAAAAATAAGAAAAAAGAACTGAAAAAAAAAAAACATCCATGGCTTCCACAAAATATTAAGTGGCACAACTGTTTTCAACATTAAAAATAAGAATTTATGCAGTGTTGGGTGTAAATAAGTACACTCAGAAAATAAAAAGGTACAAAAGCTGTCACTGGGACGGAAACCTTTAATATGCAGGCCTACACTTGTAGTACCGATATGTACCTTTGAGGTATGCACACTTTAGGTACAGAAGTACCTTTTGAAAGGGTACCGCCCCAGTGACAGCTTTTTGTACCTTTTTTTCTGAGAGTGTAACGCAAGTTTTCTTTGTTTTCCCATTTATTGACTGGCAGCTCTCTTGTCCCCATGTTGGGAGAAATCGTGAGTAAGGTGCAGAGGCGTTGTGTGTGCTGTGTGTAAATAGGATGGTTATTGTAGTTTTAGAATAAATGTGAACAGGCATTTACTCATCTGACTTGCACAAAACAGATTCAGTATACCTCAAAATGAATAAAAACAGTGAAATGCAAACTAAGGCTATTACACAAACCTTCAATAATTAAATATATTAAATTACTCAAATATACTTTATATTTAATCTCACTTTATTAATCAATATCTTTGCTGCTGCCCTTCGATGAACCAATTCAACCATACCAATAAGCAAAATGACTTTAGATAAACATCACATTTTGTGTTTTGTAAAAAAACAAAAAAACATTTGTGTTTTGTTTGTGTGAGCTGCGCCCTCTACTGTTCAGGAGTGAATTTGCATTTTCTTCTGCCCAAAAACTTGTTCATTTCACTTTACATTTGCCAAAAATAGAACTTTTTTTGTTATAAAAAAAACAAAACAAACCAAAAGCAAGCCCAGCCCAGGTGAGAAAAAGTAACGTAAAAGTAATGTGATGCATTACTTTCGATAATAAGTAACTAAGTAACGCAATAACAAGTTCTTTTTTAGTGAGTATATCTATTATATTGCAAGACTGTAGCACATTAATCTTAAAAGTAACTTTCCCCAACACTGAATTTATGTATGTATGTAATATGTACTGTATGTATGTATTAATCCATTTCTGCATATTAGAATGATTTCTGAATGATCATGTGACACTGAAGACTAGAGTAATGGCTGCTGACAATTCATCATTGCCTTGGTGAGCATGAGACTTTCCAAAATATTATCGACCCCAAACTTTTGAACGATAGTGTACATTCACAGATGTCCTACCTCAGCTTTCTTATTTCCTTAGGCTACTCATTTAAATAGGCAAATGCTGCTTGATTACATTATATCATATCTTTCAGACAGTATAAATCTTACAGACAGTAGTGTGTGTGTGAGCGTGTGTGTGTGTGTGTGTGTGTGTGTGTGTGTGTGTGTAAAAGACTGTGAAATAGAGTTACATACTTGAAAATAGTGACTAGACATCTCTGGTGACTAAATTCTAAAATAGAATGTAGTCTAAAATAGCTACTAAATAAATAGTGTTTTGGGATATTTGTTGATTGTATTATACCGCCATCTACTGGACACTTAAGGTTGCTGCGCACTTTAGAAAGGAGAAAGGTCACTACATTTCAGTCTGGTTCTTCTGTCTGGAATACTCAGCTCCTAAAACATGTAATTATGGAGTGGTGATGACCACACTAATTGCTATAATTATTGTTTTGAAGAGAATGATTTAATCTGTTCGTCTTGTTTTTTCTTTCTCAGTCAGAAAAATAATTGGTCTCCTTACCTCACAGAGCAAACAGCTCTTCATTCTGCCTGCTTATTAGTCTGTGAATCTGACAACACTCAGTCCTGATCTCAGGCCTCTGTTTGATCCGTTAAGCATTAAATGTGTTTAATGACTTACTATAACATCATAATGATAGACTTCTAATTTCATCAAAACATACTGTACTAACAGACATACTCTCACCCAGACAATAAATTGATGAAAACAATTAGCAGTGTGTGTTTGACCATTGACCATAATGATATATGTATATATATGACGTGTTATAGACAAATTGAGAAACATGACACCAATGCATGTGTCACAAATACAGCAACCTGATATTATAAGAGGGCAAGAACCACTTTAAAAGCAAACGGGGGAAAAGACGATAATAGTTTGCACTTCTGCTCTGCCATGAATGTACTTTTATTTTCTCTGATATTGTGTATTTATTGACTGTTTTATCAGAAGTATATAACATTTTATTTCTGTGTCTCTGTTTTCTTCTGTATTTGTTCATTGTCATTGATTTTTCATCCACAGCTTACCAAGATGAAGTTTGAGGCCATCTTTTCCATGGCTGGTTTTCTCAGCATTTGCACTTGTGCCCCTGTAAGTGTACATTTATAAATAATAAAATAAATTAACAAATGAATGTTTTCAGTTTGAACCTAAAGTAACAAAACGGTTTGTATTTCACAGATCTACCAGCCACAAATTGGAATAATTGCAAGTAACAGTAATGAGGTATGTATCTTATATATATTTTTTGTATAAATTATATATTAAATGTTACATATTAATTTACACTATACCTTTAAAAAGTTTAGAGTCAGTAAGATTTTTGAAAGTCTCGTCTGCTCACCAAGGTTGTATTTATTTGATTAAAACACAGTACAAAACTGTGATATTGTAAAAAAATTGTTGCAAAATAACTTTCTATTTTAATATATTTTAAAATGTAATGTCCAGTGATGGCAAAGCTAAGTTTCGATCTGCGAAAATCATTCTAATATGCTGATTTGGTGCTCAATTTTTTAATCTTTTAATTTGTTATAATCAATATTAAAAACAGTTGTGGCTGCTTAATATTTTTTGGAAACTGTGATAAATTTTTTTCAGGATTCATCGATGAATAGAAACTTCAAAAGAACAGCACTTATTTGAAATAGAAATCTTTTGTAACATCATACATGTCTTTACTGTCAACTTAATTTAATGAATACTTGCTGAATAAAAGTAAAAAAAAAAAAAAATAATTATGAAAAAGCTGACTGTTCCCAAACTTTTGAACAAGAGTGTGTATATTTGTTGGTTACACTTTGTTTTAAGGTGACGTTGTTACAGTGTAATTGCACATATATAAGTACTGCATAACATTATTTAACTAGGCTATATACTTACTATAAGTTTAAGGTTAGGGTAGGCTTTGGTTTAGGGTTAGTTGCTTGTAATTATGCATAATTTACTGTTATTTTTACTATATTAAGTATACTGTATGTAACGTCTAAGTACGTCACCTTAAAATAGTTTTATCTTTTTTGTTTTCTGTCACGCACGCTCACGATTAATCGTTAATCGTTGCTTCCTTGTAGGTTTTGCGTATCAATGGACTCACTCTGGCAAGTTTGGGTTTGGGTCAAGCACAGGTAATTTAGCTTTCAGTCTAAGCAAAGTATTTTTAACTAGTAGATTTGTTTTTTGGGAAACACCTGTAAGTTTATTCTAAATGATGGTGCTCATAAGAATCTTAACGGAATCCTCTAGCTCTTTGCTTTCTTTCTCTTTAGGGTACTCCATTTTTCTCCCCCTACCTGATCCAGCAGCAGCCCCCACAGGTGCTGAACTTTAACCCCGCGATGCAGGGATTCTTCCCCCCTCAAATAAACCAGCTGAACCCAGCACAGTTGCCTCCGTTGCAGCAGGAGCAGCCTATACCTGGCTTCGGTCCCAATAACGGCATACCAGCACAGAACCCTCCTCCGGTACTGACGGACTTCAGAGGAACATCACACACACTAACTTTTATTGAACATAGATGTTGATTTAACTTGTTGATGTAATCTATTATCACATTTTTTTTGGAGAGTAAGTCAAATTTTGTTTCTAGGGCTTTCCATTCTTCCTGACGAATCTATATCCTCTGAGAAACACCCCTGTAAGGCTGATACCCAACCAGAACGCTGGCCCAAATATTCAAGGCCAGGCTACGATGCAACCAGTGCAACCAATGCAACCAATTCAACCAATACAGGTATTGTAAAGACGTAACATTTTCTCCTCCTTTTTAATTGATAATATAAACAGAAAAAAAAGAATACATGAAAAGTATATTTCCTCTACAAAGAAATCATGTTTTCTTTTTTTGACATACCCCCCATTTCTCTAATGTAATCTCACATTACATTAGGTTTCATTACTCTAATGTAATCTCAAGGGGCTTTTATATTTCTGTTTTCTTCTCAGACAATCTTAAAGACAAATTTTCACATGTTTCAGAACAGGGTGAAGGCAGTAGACCCGATGGTAACGTCTGCTCCTGATTACCGTGGTGATCGGCCCGGTCCTGGAACTGTAGAGGTAATGCAAGAGTATAAACTTGCATCTTTTTTCACATGTTTTCTTTGGTTTAAACATGCTGTTATTAACCAAACATGACAAAAAAACATGGCTGGGCAGAATAAATGCTGTAAAATTTGTAGACACATTAGTTTGTTTATTAACCAATCCTGTCTCTGACAGGGGCATCCTGGCTTCCCACTGTTTGAGCCATAGGCTCAGAAGACTTCATTTATAAATAGGTATTAAAAAGTTTTCCAAAAAGTATATTATAATGGGATATCATACCTATTAATTTATCAGAATGTAAATTTGTTGTTTGGTTTTCCAGATATCCCACCATGGAGATCCCTCACAGGAGACATTTTTGTTAAATTGAAATATCCAAATGTTACCAAATAAATAAATGATGCTCTGTTTATTTTGTCAGTAATGTTTTTTTTTTTTTGTACTCCTGTTAAAACTTGGTGATTGCATGTAATAACAATACAAGAATAAAGTAAGTCATGCACTTTAGTGACAAAATTATAGCAGTGTGTCACATCTGGTTGTAGAGAGCGCACTATAAGATTAGATAAAAACAGTATTTGGTTTCACTTTATTTTAAGGTGTCCATGGTACAGTGTAATTATACATTTAGGTACTGAGTAAAAAATAATTAACTACATGTACTTAATATAGGGTTAGGATTAGGTTGTGGTTTAGGTTAGTTGCAATTAAGCACAATTTATAGTATTTACTAATATGTAACGGCACTGTAAAATAAAGTGTTACCCAGTCTTTATTTAATCATAGAAAAACTCAGGAGATCACAGGATCAACCAATAATACAACCACGTAAAATTAAGATGATACCGGACAAAGGAACTATGGAAACACATGGCTTAAATACATGAGGGGCGTAATCAATTTAAAATGGAACAGGTGAGGGAACTAATTAACGACCAGGGAACCTAACTAGGGAACACAAGCAGGCAAACAGGGAAACCAAAACACCATGATAATAGAGGAAAACAGAATACACACATTACAGTGTTGATGCTACAAGTTTTAATGAACACATTCTCAACATGATTAAAGAAGAAAATGCAGCAAACTAAGAGTGAACAACCACCAAGAGACATTAATGAGCAATAAAATAATAACAAAAAAATCTATATTATACATTTAATCTCATTAATCTCGCTGGATGTCCACCTGTGGAAAAAGAAAAAGTTATTTAAAGCCAAAATGATGTTTTTAATCAAATTCATTTTATTTATTGTAGGTACAGCAATCGGTCCTACCAGTGTGATTATTGTACATGGTTCTGTCCTAGTTTGTCCCATGATCACTTTCAGACTCCGCCTGGAGAATCAGAGTAAAAGGCAATGTTGTATAAATCAACAAAACAAGACAATATAAAATGTCTACTCAAATAATTCAAAACCAGTGATCACTCTCAACTTTAGGAGCAAAATACTGACCTTCATGAATGCAGGGAGCTGCAAACACAACCAGGGCATTTAAAAGATCAAGAACAATTTGATACAAGAAAGAGAACGCTGTTAGCTGGAAAACTTATTCTGGCAGGTATTTATAATGTAACGGATGGATGTGATATTAGTACATGTTCCTGATTACTTACAAGCTGTGTAATGCCATATTCAAATGAGATTCTTTGCTGTGGGGAACACATTTAAATAAACTGTTATATTTAAAAACAACAACAACAACAACAACAACATCATCATTTAGTCCAAGATATGCAATGTGATTAATAGACTTATTGTTTGCGACTCACCGTTGCAGTTGGGTTGTAGATGAGCTTCACATAAGGCTGTTAGATAGAAACAGTTTGATTTGGGAACTTATGCATTTAAATGTACTTTTAGTCCTTTTATATATGTTATATTTATTTATTTGATATATTCTAATTATAAAGCCTATTATAAAGTTTAATGGATGTTTATTATAGTGCTTATACCTGAGGGCCATAGAGGGAGAAACCCTGACCAAACTAAAAGAAAATAATTAAATTAATTATTACACAACAAAGAAATCACATTAGAACTTATTTCACAATAATAAAAAAAAAAATGTATAGGCTAAAAAACAACAACAACAACAACAACAACTTTACCCCCAGTTCCTGAGGTCTATTCACTCCATCCTGTAATTTAGTCAGAAATGGTATGCATTATTTTAACATGAAACATACTATACTATAAATTAAATCTAATCTTTATTACCTTTTTTGGTGGCTGCATTTGCCCTCTACCCTGGAAAGAAGAAGGTTTTCGATGTGAATATCATTAATCTTACACTTTCTCATTACTTTTAGCCCATTAAAAGTATACCTCTCATTATCTGTTCAGTACCTCAAATTCAACAAAGTATGAAATAAAAACATATTGTAATATGTTGTGAATGGAAAATGAATGGCAGTGTATTATCTTTACATGTACAGTTCCAATCACTCACTTTTGGTAAGAGGAAGACATTCTCTCCCTGGAAACAAAAGCAAAAATGAATTCTGATTCTATCTATTTTATTGCGTTTTCATATCTTGGAATACGTAAGGTTGATTGAAAATGTCAATTTCACCAATTTAGTGGCATTACCTCCTTTAGATGGAAAGCACTAACATTCTGTTGAAGGGGAGAACATATAATTTTTTTATTTATGCTTTTTGATATATTCAGAAAGTTATTTAGTTGTAGCATTGCAACATTTTAAGTACAAAACAGCAACACAAAGCGTTTCACTCACCTGCACAGTGACATTGTCAGCCTATGTTCATCCAAGTGGATAACAAATGATTAAACACAGATTAGAGACTTCAATTGCATTTCCATTCCATGTCTGTGAGTAAATGATCGTCTTCTTACCTTGAAGATTGGAATGAACTGCCTGTTGTCCTAGAACATGTATGAAAGTGAACTCATAAATCCATTCACATTCATTAACAAGTGAACATAAAACTGTTTAATCCATGAATGAATTTGAAGAGCACATTTGAAGAGCACATTAATATAAGCAGTATGAGCCTACCAGCATGTTGGGACTCAGGGATCTCCCAAAGAGTGGATTCATTTGATTCTCTCTACCTCCACCTACTGGAGCTTGAGTTGGCTGAAGGGTTTTTACAACATTAACAATTATTTTTTATATTTCAGCACACTTGCTATTTCATTCTAAGTTATATTATTCCACATTATCAAAAATATTTAATTCAATCCCATTTGCCCCAGGATGAGGGCGAATATGGCAAATATTTAAACTCTGACATATTGTTTTTATGTCTTGTTTCTGCTAAATAAAATCATTATTTTGATACAAAGTGACAATAGAACTAAATCTGCCGTCTAACTTACTTTGTAAGATGGTCTACCAGCTCTTCCATTCATCTGTGGTTTTCCGGTTCCTCCCCATCTATGCCATTGTCCGCTCCTCTGTGTTCCCTGGGTCAAACCGGACCCTGGTCTAGTCATCTCAGACTCATAACCCTACAGCAGAAGATACAAAAATAATGTTTATTGTACTGCATAATGATTGCAAAACGTGCAAAAATATTGAAAATGTTGCCCACCCTGCCTCCTCCATTTTGACCAGGGAATCCTAGATCTTGTCCAAATGGAGATCCATTAGATGGATTTTGTGCCCGTGGCTCAGGTTCATTTGGATACAATGGGCCCATCGGATCTGGCTATAATTAAAGCGTCAGTTGACATTTTGAAGTTCAACCTTGAATGATTTTAGAGTCATGCACAATTTGAATCTAAATTACTACAAAAACATACAAAAGCTGGACGTCCAAAATACTGCTCCCATCTTGGTCTGTTTGGAGTTCTGCCCACTGGCTGAGGCACTTTTCCTCCTCCATTCACTGGCCCTCGGAAATCTCTCTCTCCATTCACTGAGTACACTTGATCCCAGCGGTCTCTGTCACTGGGCTGAAAACAACGCAATAACTACACCATGCTAATATATCCACCTCATTTTGCAACGCGGAACAAACTATTTTCTGTTCGACTTGCGTTTCATTAGCCGGCCGCTGTAGGGAAATAACTAGTATAGCTAACAAAGTAAACGGTAAAACTATTTGCATTACAAGCGTGTTTAGAACTACGACAATATACAGAGAAATGTAGCATAGTACGCAATCTTGCTACATTACTGAGGTGAAAAAGGATGCTTTCATTAACAGTGTTCTGTACAAAATGATCGAATGTAAGACTGGCATCAAAAATAACTCCAAGGTTCCTCATTTTACTTTGAGTCTCCAAAACAGCGCCACCAACAAACAGATTCAGTGAACCAGCTTTAAAAATTTTATGGCGGGAATCATTAAGCATAACTTCGTCCATGTTTTTAACTCAGAAATGCAGTTAGAAAGAAAACAGGCATCAACATTTTTACCTTGAGTATACTCAGCATAGAAGTGGTAATGGAGGCCAAGCGATCGTAACAGATGCCCAAGTGGTGACAAATAATTATTGAACAGTAAAGGGCCTAAAACTAAGCCCTGAGGAACACCAGCAAGTACAGAGCTAATCTCAGGCCTGTAACCACCCATATAAATGAACTGGGAACGGTCAATAAAATAGGATTTAAACCGGTTTAAAGCTGTCCCTGACACACCAAAACTCTTTCAAGGTAGGTAAGTAAAAGACTATGATCTACAGTGTTGAAAGCGGCTCTAAGATCAAGAAGGATGAGAATGGAAATTGCACCAGAAGCCATCAACAAGTCATTGGTAACCTCAACCAAAGCAGTTTCAGTACTGTTAAAAATTTACGAAAACCTGACTGAAGGGGTTATTAATTGTAAGATGGTTACACAAATGAGAGGCAACAACGCGCTTAAGTATTTTTGCAAAAAATGGAAGATTTGAGATGGGACGAAATTTGTTAAAATCATCCAGAGCAGCCTTTTCTCTTTTTTTTTGGCATGCACAAGTTACAGCAGCAATCTTTAATGCTGCTGGAACAACCCCAGTCTGCAATGAGTCATATAATACTGAGGATAGCAGGGCACAACACATCGAAGCAATATTTAAATAAGCTTATGAGAATAGGATCAAACAAGCAAGTGGTAGATGTCATGCTAGATACCTCCTTTTGTGAGTTTCAGAATCAAGCTGTGAGAAATGAGTGAGACAAATACCATACCCATATATCAAGCAGCATAATGAGCTGTTTTGCAAGCAGTTAAAAATAACTAGAATCCAGACACATTCAATTTACAAATGGCCCCGCCCATTCTTACATTAAAAATAAGGCGAATACCCAAGATAAATGTCAATGAAAATAAAACACAGAATGTTGATACTCACCCGAGCTGCCACCACAACACATGACAATACCACTAGAAACCACATTGCTTCTGTAAAATAATAAATATACAATTTTCAGAATTAAATGTAATTTGACTGACTTTAATAGTAACTGATCTCAATGTCGCACTAAAGAGGTTACCTTCTCAACGTTTGTCCCCGTTTCCAGCTCTGTCACATTGGTCTTGCTTCTGTCTTTTTAAAGATCAGTGGTTGAGCAATTGTCACTGTTGTTGTGGCTCATTTGTTTTGACTAAGGACTTATCAATTGTTAGAGAAATTGTTAAAAAAAAAAATACTAATACAAAACTGATGTCATTTAAGGTGGTCAAAATATAACAGTAGGCCTTTTACAGTACAGCAAGCATTTTATTTCATAACCATTACACAATTCTGGCTTCAAAGAGGTGTAAGTATTGACTCAAGTCTTTCTCTATTGCAATATCAGGAGTGTCATGTGTAGGAGGGATTTTACCGATTGCTAAACTAGTTTGTTGCCTTAAGCCCACCTAATGTTTTAGGATTGACCCGTCTAGTGCATTTAGCAAGAGCAGCGAGGGTGAGGTGTTTGTTAGGAATCAACAAAACAGAGGGGTGTGTTCTATTACTGTATTTAAATCCTCAGGCATCAGAGCAAAATATTGTTCTTCCTAAAAATATTATTGCTGTTGCTTTGGAGAATTAGTCTTTGACAGAAACATGAAGACAGTAATCTTATTTGCATGCCTTCTTGGTCTGACCGTGGCTTTCCAGGTATGTTTCAAAAGCTATACTTTTGCAGTTATAGTTGCATGTGTAAATAATGATAATAATGATTATTATTATTACTGTGATTAGGCTGAAGATCACCAGCGTGTGGCTCGCTCATTATCAAGCTCGGATTCCGATGAGGTTTGTCAAAAAATGTAACTCAAATTTAAAAACGTAAAGTTGAACAAAAACTATATATCAGCATGTTGTTTTATTTGCTCGTATGATTTTATCTGTCATTATTTATCTTATCAGATTGCTTCCACCACCTTTCTGCCTCAAATGACCTTTGACCAGTTTCTTCAGCTGCTGATGGCCCTTTCCTCTAGAAATGTCCCAGCTCCAGCCCCGACCCCTGCCTCAACCCCGGTGCCAACCCTTCCACCAATCACAGCACGTTAAGACTCCTAAATTCTGACTTCTCCTTTGTTGTGAGCAGTTACAATTTTGAGTTTAAATGTCTATCTAAATAATGATTAGAATAGCTCTTTATCCTATATTAGCCTATAGTAGAAACAGCAAAGAAATAAAATGGCAGAAGGAGCAAACCAACCCTCTCTTTACACTCTTGAATATTAGAAAATTTACAGTTATATGTGAGCTAAATGTCCATGTCTTCTGTATTTTTTTGTTGTTGTTCTCAGTGTATTTCTGCAGATTGTTACCATTAAAACTGGTTTACTTTTATATCTTGTGCTGCCTGTGTGTGATTCACTATTCTGGATGTTAATTCAATTACTGTTTTTTCAAAATGCTTGCACACAATTTCTGAAACTATGGCTCAATTTCTTGAAACTC